AAAGGGGAGGGCCAAGTAATGTGCGTAATTAAACAGCTAATATTTCGAATAATTAAAATCGTCTTCTTTTATGTGCCGTGTTTCTTCAGCTCTCCTCAATATCCTTACTCTGATTAGCTCTAAGCAATCTTTATCGTCTTAGCTGAAGTTCCTGCGACACATAATAAGGATGGATGGCCTGGAGAATCTGATACTCACAGGTCGAATAGAGGGAAAGAAAGACAAGGAAAAACAACGCATGACATACCGGGCGGTCTGAAGCAAGTGGATGTCAGAACGTGGTCTTTGGGAGAGATGGAAGAGAGAAGAGGGAGGTGGAGAGACATGATAACTTACGTCCTGAAAGGACACGGCACATAGAAAGAATCTCACTCAGTCGTATTCTTCACGCAAACTCGTTAGGCACATTACTCGAAGTGACCCCTCTACCTTTCTTGTCTTCATGAGTGTGTCAAATTCCCCAATCCCTCTTTCTTCATTGTTTTCTACAAATGTCAACTTTCTCTTTCTGATATAAGTACAAATCTTCTTTTTGTTCCCTGTTTCTTTAAACCTTTCCCTGTGTCCTCCTAAATATAAGATGAAGAAGAGATTTCAAAGAACAGTTCCAATGTAGTTCCAAAGAAATCAATAATAGCAAACAAAGAATAGAAGAATCCTCGCCGTGGGGCAATGGTTAGAAAGCACGGAGATGAAGTCTAATTCGTTAGAAGGTTCGATTTTCACTGCATACCCTACACTCGTAGCCATAGATTAGACTTACCTAAGATTATGGGTGAGTCGCTTGTTTGACCCTAACTGGTCAACCTCCGATCTTTATTTGTACCTTTCTGCCACAAGAACATTCCAAAAGAAGGAAGAAACAGATAACTTTTTGGTCAAGGTATATAATACCCCTTTCATCGTACAAACAAATAGAGACTTGCAATTTTCCTTAGGCTGGCTTCAAGGCCAATGTATTTTATGGTCTTTAAAACATTGAATGTTATGGTTAAAAAGAAACAAGAGGAAAAACTATACTTCGCCTTGTTGAGGATTTCAAGAATTCGTAGATATTTTGAGGGAAAGCATGGTGTGAAGTTTTGATGAGATTGGAGAATGACTTTTTCCTCAATGTATTTTTTGAGATTTTTTTCTTCTGTTTCTGTGGGAATGATATAAGTAATTGTTTCTCTGACTGTGTTTATTTTGTTTTCCATGTCGATAATGTGTAAATATTCTCATATAGAGTATATCTGTAAAAGAGACAAAATAAATAAAAAGTGACAAGAGGAAAAACAATACTTAACCGACGCGTTTCGTCATCTGACGGACTTTATCAAGGCAATATAGGATTTATTATGTTGTACGTTTTTATATATGACGATTTCATTGGTTTATCGAGGCTTTTAAATTTGGGAACGTTCACGAATGAATTTACAAACCTTCAGAAACCAATGATTTTCTCGCCTCTGTATATAAACACTTATAGCATAATAAATCCTATATCGCTTTGATAATGTCCCTCAGATGACGAAACGCGTCGTCTAAATATATTTACACATTGAATGTTAGATCATTAAGAGCTGATGGTGAAAGCAACTCGGGAAGCATTATCAGCAAATATTAAGCTAAGTCATAAGGAATTCCCGTTTTAGGGAACCAATTTTAATGACGAATGTATAACTCAAGGTCATTAAAGGTGATGAAAAACGGGTCACATCTTCAACGCAAATGGCAGTGGATTCACAAGGAGACATTTCCCCAACCGTCTCCAAATTTATTTACAGCTATTAAAGGCAGGGAAACAATAAATGCACATTTACACGTCCATCAGCTGCAATGTGTCCATAAATATTATTATTATTATTTTCCAAGACATTTTAGTGCAATATTCACTCGCAAAACTCTGTAGAAGAGACAAAATAAATAAAAAGTGACAGGAGGAAAAACTATACTTAGCCGACGTTCTCTGATGGACCTTATCAAGGTAATGTAGGATTTATTATGTTGTATGTTTTTATATATGACGATTTCATTAGTTTATCAAAGCTTGAACGTTCATGAATGAATTTACAAGCCATCAGAAACCAATAATTTCTTCGCCTCTCTATATAAACACGTACAGCATAATAAATCCTAAATAAATAAAATAATAAATGATAAATCCTTACGGTTGCATTTATCCATTTCAAGTGTAAAATGACTTCGCCACAAAGTACTGCATTGAACTCACACACTTTTGGTTCTGTCACTAACTAACGCCTTTATCCACTGCGCCATTTTTCTTTGAGGACAGGTGCGTATGAATTTCTGGGTGTTATAAACCTAATGTCTTTACCAATCATTTTTTATCAGTGCTCATATTGCAATTTTTTGCTGTTATCATTGCATAATTTTACCAGACCTCATATTGCAATTTTTGTTGCTATTATCGCTTTTCTCTGGCACTCCTTATTACTGGCTCCCATATTGTATTCATTTCTATGCTTGATTGGCTCAGGAGATTTTCGTGGCCTAGCATATGTGCTGATTCCTTAAGTTTACGAATTTTCCAGTGATGTTCTCTGTCTATGATCTCAACCTGATCACACAGAGGGTAGTGATCTCCCTTTTCTTTCCATATGTGGTCAACCAGTGACAGGACCCGAAGAGTGTGAGTTAAGGCAGTTAAGAACCCGGTTAAGGCAGTGGAGAACTTTCAGAGGGGAATTAACAGGAGATAACTGATAACTGACATCCATTAAACATGGCACGTGGAACTAGAACAGTCTACCTCAGTGAGCAAAATAAAGGGTTCAGTTCGACATTCCAACCACCTGAAGAAGGCCGCAGCGTACAACGACCGAAATAAATGTGGCGATGAGGACAATAGTTCGAATAATGTAAATAGTGTACATAATACCTCATCTCAGAGATATAGACAGATATATCATCTTTCTCACCCCGATCGCTCCTTTCTTTCTTTCTTTCTTTCTTTCTTTCTCGGATATGCGGGTGGTGTAATGGACAGCGGTTCAAAATGATCAATCGGAGAGCCGAGTTCGTATACCAACCGGTTGCATTATATTCACTTATACGCCTATACACTTGGGAAAGCTACGAATCCAACTCTTCTGTCTCTTGCCTACGAGTCAACTTTGATCTTCAAAAATGTAAATGCAATGTCAATCGTCAGCTTCTGTCTTCTTAATACTTGTTCTGTCATTTTTCCCTCTCCAATACTTGCGCTATATTCTCTAACATTCAGTAACCCTCTTGTGTCTTAGTGGCTTTATTGCCTTGCGTGGGGTGAAATAATTAATATATATATATATATATATATATATATATATATATATATATATACCGTCGTCGTCGGCATCCGTCCGTCTCGAGAGACTATGGAGTAGCGTGGTGCGCTACAAGCCTGGGCAGGATATATGGAGAACTAGGGCTGCCCAGACGTCTAGCCCCCCCTCTTGGCCTTGCTAGCAGAGTCCAAAGGAGAGGATAAACCAATACAGTTGCCGTAAGGTAGTACAAAGTGCCGTCCATCCACCTTCGGGGCTCCATTCCAGGTTTTGAATTCAGAGTTGTCTTTCTCCTAGACCAGTTGCACTTCAAGGCTATAGAACCCAGTCCTGCTATTTACCCATAGCTGTAAGGAAAAGAAGAGGATTCATACCTTTTCCAAGGGTATTAGCACGTAAGTGAATGTAATGGATTCGACTGGAATTCTAACTCGGCTCTCCGATTCCTCAATCCAAGCTAACCATTACTCCACCGTGCCTCACACACACACACACACACACACACACACACATATATATATATATATATATATATATATATATATATATATATATATATATATACAGAGTTAGGTAAATCAAATAACTAGATATTGGCGTGCATACACAGATAAGCAAATAAATAATCATCAAATTTGTACATGACGTGTAAACATAAGAGTGCTCGATGTGGTTAGACAGAGCAAAGAAATGTATATTAACAAATATACATATACATATACCTACGTTTTGCTGTGCGACTTAAGTTTCCTCGGTTACAGAACTCATCGGGCACAATATATATATATATATATATATATATATATATTAAATACAATGATAAAATTTGCGTCAAAGAAGCCAACGCTATAAAAAGCACAGTGCTTATTGTAAAATATAAAAAAATTAATACAGACCAGACATAAGGCTTTCGGTTTGATGCACTTTTATTATGAAAATCTTTATTTTTTATCTGTTAACGTGAATAACAAAGCAAACAAGGTAAAAAACACGATGACCATTAAATAAATATCTCTATTGTTATAGGGTGTGGTCATTGAGACAGGACGTACCCTTCCCGACTCTGTCATCCGGAGAACATTAAGGTTTGTGGTACGGAATTCAATTCGGGGGGGGGGGCGGTGGAGGCAACACCAGCAGCAGATAAATAACTGGTGTCCTTTGCTTCACGCCTGCTCGACGATGTTTGTCCGACAGCAAGTCACGTGGATCGCGTTCGAGGGGGACCCCTTCTTTTATAAGTGAGCTTCACCATCAACAGGAAATCTGTTCTAGGAAAAGAAAAATGGAAAAAAAAAAAAAAAAAAAAAACAGAGCGTAGAAAATTAAAGAAAATGGGATACAGAAATAATGGGGAAACTCTTCGTATAAGCAACATCGCCCTCATTTTTTTTTTTGTCGTTGTCCGGAAACAATAGAAGAACACAAGCATTGTACACAATACATTGCTTATGTTGAACTACAAATAAGTATCGGTTTCCTAATGACAATCCTCCTGTTGTTTAATGACGCCCGATGTCAATGAAAGATAAATAAATCTTACAGTCAATTCGTTCTTCGTATTAGGATTGGCACAATGTTCTTCATTAAATTATTATTGTTATTCTTTATGACCGATCTTGATTATAATGTTCTGTTAATATTGTGCTATGATAAGCGCACTGACGCAGACTCATTTGATTCGGTAGGCGAATAAGAGACGAAATAGACGAGTGAAGAAATGGTAAGCTAACCAGATAGAAACAAAATCAGGGATAGATAGATAGATAGATATAAAAAGACACTGATAGATAGATAGATAGATAGATAGATAGATAGATAGATAGATAGATAATGTGAGTAAAAAGCCGATAGATATATAGATAGATAATGAAATGACTCTGATAGATATTTAGATAAGAAGGGAAACGCTGATAGATAGATAGATAGATAGGAAGGAAAAGGCTGATAGATAGATAGATATGAAAAGACAGATGTGAAGGAAAAGGCTGATAGATATATAGATAGATAATGAAATGACTCTGTTAGATATTTAGATAAGAAGGAAAACGCTGATAGATAGATAGATAGATAAATAGATAGATAGATAGGAAGGAAAAGGCTGATAGATAGATAGATAGATAGATAGATAGATAGATAGATAGATAAGAGGGAAAACTCTGATAGATAGATAGATAGATAGATAGATAGATAGATAGATAGATAGATAGATAGATACGAAAAGGTAGGTAGATAGATAGATAGATAGATAGATATGGAAAGACTCTGACTGCCGTTTGATCTGAGTTTTCACGGGACTTTCTTTTCCTTGGTCCAGCCTTGGCTATTTTGATTGCAATCTGGTTCTCTGTTGGTGAAGATTTCTTTTGTGCGAGTCATACTGCTGCCGTATATGATAAACAACTATAAACTATAAAAGAACTCAAAATTGATCAATGCATTTAAGTATTGCATTAATATTTAAGCTTACCTTTTAAAAGTTCAACAATAATTCTTCTCCCATCACGTAATTTAAAGACAATTTGATGTGCGTAGGTCCTTACTTTTCATACAAACAATTATTTTTAATTCATGGGTAACTTTCGCTGGATTTCGCAATTAATTTCGTTTATACCCAATTTTTTTGCGCGTTATAAAAATTGGTATCGTACAAAAAATTCGTTGCAAAAATCACTTTAAAAATCACTGAAACAATCACAGTAATGAAAACTTAGGAATACAAACTTTCTGTAACATTAGCTATTGAAAGTTAGAGAGTTGTCTCCCTTTAATTGAAAAAGTGTGACACAATGACATCCGTATTTATTATATAGATATATTTATATATAGTAAGCCAAAGAAATTCGAAAGTTAAAAACAAAAATCAAAAATAATAATATTGAAAATAATATTATTAATATTTATTTATTATTTAATATTTATTATATATTAGTCGGCCTTTTGACCAAATGGAGGCACGATAAAAAAGATGTTGAAAATAGGAATTTTCGGACACGTCTGTGTACTTCCTTAACGAGAAATAAAAAATGAAGTTGGACTTTTTTCGGAAACATTTCTTTAAAAATTATACAAGAATCCCTCGATTAGTGCGGCTAACTATAAAAAATCAATTTTCAATTACTATGCTTAAATTGAAGAATGATATACCGGGCTAATCGATTATTATATATGCAGTAATCGAATTTTGCTATATCAAAATTTTAGCGCACTAATCGAAAACACATTAATCGAATGCGCATTAATCGAGGGACACACACACACACACACACACACACACACACACACACACATATATATATTAAAAGATGCTTCTGTGTAAGCATCTTTTGGGATATTAGTAACTTTTCCTTTTCTTTTTTTAACTAAGTGTGTGGTTTTTGTTTTCTATGTTGATCATGTGTTAAAGTTCTCAGAATAAATCTGTAGAGAAGACAAATTTCGCTTTTGTTTATCATCATTTGCCTTGATAAAGTCAAATGACGAAACGTGTCAGCGAGGGCTAAGTATTATTTTTGATTTTATTCAATTTGTCTTCTCTAAAGGTATAGTCTGAGAACTTTAACACAAAAAGTTACTGATACCCAAAAGGAGCTTTACACAGGAGGGTCTTTTAAAATTTTGGAATTTTATGTAACTATACAACATATGGAAAGTATTTTATATTATATTATATCACATCATATATATATATATATATATATATATATATATATATATATATGTACATTCATATTTGCTCGATGCGTATCCAAATGTAAACAAATGACATCGCACATTACGAAATAGACAAAGTCCGACATTTATTTTAAGACATTTTTATGTTTATACATTCTTCTTTTTTATAAAAAAATGTTTACATTTGGATACGCATCGAGCAGATATGTATATACGTGAGAAAATCATGGAAAATTGTAGTTTAAAAACAGTAAAATCGACCTTGCTAACTGAAACGATCCTCTGTTGCGAAATCGGTAAAAACACGTCAAGCTATATTACGGTTCTGTATAGGATACAGGTTCTATTCTTGTTGGAGGATGCATATTTTCTATGAAAATTTCTCGGATATTCAAGCCGGTAAATGTTGTTAATACTGTTTATTATAAACAGAGCATTTACTTAAATATTTGTATCTATAAAAAGAATGTATAAACATAAAAATGTCTTAAAATAATTGTCGGACTTTGTCCATTTCATAATGTACATACATATATATATATATATATATATATATATATATATATATATATATATATATATAGTGTGTATCACAAAAGTGAGTACACCCTCACATTTCTTCAAATAAATTAACTCTGTTATATATGCTGCAGACAGGCTACTTTTCATTGTGTCAAAGTGTCATTTTGTCAGTGTTGTCCCATGAAGAGATATACTTAGATATTTGAAGAAATGTGAGGGCTCACTTTTGTGATACACTGTATATATATATATATATATATATATATATATATATATATATAGTAAGTGCTTGAAAACTATACCACGCGTTGACCCAAGCGTTGTGAGTGAAATTGGGTAGACGGAACCCTTGGGGAGCCGTCGATGGTTGTATTAGCACGAAGTCACAAGTCATCGTGACCGAGGGTTTGAAACTACTAACTTTGTTCAGACTGTTGATCCCGCCAGTTTATGCACAGCTGCAATATAAACCACAGGTGATCAATGTGGGGGTTGAACAAACACACAATGTGCCTTAGCAAGCGTCTGCAATAGGGATTGACTAGCCGCCCCATGCAGACATGCATAATCGGATACGAGCGGCTAGCCATTATACATATATATATATATATATATATATATATATATATAAATATTAAGTAAAATATATATATATATATATATATATATATATATATATGTATGTATATATTAAGCAATGTAAAACAAACGCTGATTAATAACGGATTTCCTAATGAATTGTTGGATTTCCACATTAGGCATTTCTTGTCTATGGTAGCTAACAGCGAGAATAGAAACGTAAACAATAACATTAATATTTTTTATAAAATTTAAATGAACGAAAATTATAAACAAGGAGAAAGTAGAATGAAGAACATTATAAAAAAATGCATAACACCAGTTGACAATAGCAATAAAATAGATTAATTATTTATTACAAAAAATTTAAAACCTCTAACCTTATAGTTAAAAATAATAATTCACCTCCTAGAACAAAATTAAATAGGGCAAATATTATTTAAGAATTTAAATGCCCATTAAGGAATTGTATTCCTGATCAATCAAAATTCGTAAATAATTATATAGGCCACACTACAACATATTTGACACGCAGACTCATTCTACACCTTTCTGACCATTGCCCAATTAGATCTCATTTAAATATTCATGGAGACCTATTGGACACTATTCGGAACATACTTGTTGACAACACTAATATAATAGCATCAAAAAGGCTAAAAATAATGGAAGCCTTATTAATAAAAAAAACAAAAAAAAAACAACACTTAATAATATTAACTTTGAACATGGACACAATATATTGACAGTGTTTTGAAAAATGAAAACATTTTATAAAACATACATACAACAAAATATTTCTTATTTAACAGTTAGAATATTTAATCCTTGAAAATGGCTAAATGTATAGCCGAAAGCGCTCGGATAAAAAGAACATTCGGACAGTTTTTATATAATTTATCATCCGAAAAGAAAAAAATATATTAGATCGCATGAGAAATTGTATAAAAAAAACTAAATCAAACCAACTTGTCTGTCGTATTCAATGGAATGTGCATGAAAGTAGGATTGCTGCCTAAATACACAAATATATATATATATATATATATATATATATATATATATATATGTGTGTGTGTGTGTGTGGTCACGTATAACTTTCTCTAGCCCTCTGTCTTGCTAACTGCACCTCACCGTTTATCATTTGTTATTTATCGTTGTATCTGCCTTTTTATTGACTTATCATCGTCGCTTGAGCGCCGACGGCCACAAGCGGGACATATTATTATAACAATGATAATTCCAATCTAATACGGCTTTTCTCACCAGCAAAAAATATCTCAAGTTTTATTGCGTTTCTTCTGTTCCCCACTTGCTCCAAAATGTCCCATTGCCACCCATCGTCGGTTTTTTTAGACTTCCTTATTTTGTACAATATCAGAAAGATATTTCCTTCGGTATTTTTGATTCCAGTGTCATCCTACGGAGTTTTCTGTTAACAGCCAGACGTATAATATAATTCAGCCATTGAGGCACTGCGATGGAGAGAAAAAAGCATGCTGTTTTTTTTTGTTTTTTTTTTGTTAAAAGCGTTTGTGCTTTTTTTCAAAATTAGCCAAATACACAGTAGGAAAATCTTTTACACCTTGCATAATATTGTTGAAATTTCTTAGATAATTATTATTTTCCTTTCTTTGGTTTAGTATAAGTAGCTCCCCCCTCACCCCAAAACTCAAACGGAGCCTTCATGAGATGACAAATTCTTGTAGCAGAAGATGGCAAGCGGATTATTGTGAAATCAACGCAAGATGTTCAAAGTACCCATGAGTATGTTTTTTTTTTGTTTTTTTTTTGCAATAATTATATTTTAGGCATGCCAGGAATTTGATTCTTTTGTTCCGTTTTATACAGGGTGTCCATAAAGTTCGTGTGCGCTTTAAAAAATTTATAACTTTATTTGTATTCGCGATAGAAATAATTTGTAAAAAGGATTAGAAAGAAGTAAATCTATATTTTTTAAGGTTTTATTGAAATTTTATTTAAGTTTTCACATGTCCTCCATCATTAGCGATACAAAGAGTAATACGATTTTGCAGTTCACGGAAAACATTTGCCAACTGATTTACAGTAATGCCTGAAATCACATTAGTTATTTTAGCTATACTTAAAACTAGGTACATTAAACTTTAAAACATTTTTTACAGATTATTTCTATCGCAAATACAAATAAATTTATAAATTTTTAAAGTGCACACGAATTTTATGGACACCCTGTACAAATCTTCGATAGCAACAGATGCCACATTCTACTAATTTCTATCTCGAGCTCCGAGTATTTGACTAGTTTCTCAATCATTTCCAAATATGAGTTTTTGTCGATTGGCGCTACAACATCTTTCAGAGCAGAGTCGTTTTCAATATAATTTTTCACAATTATGTCTGCTTGATTTCCATTTTTTTACTCGTTTTAGTTCTCAATATTTTTTTTTGTTGTTTTCTATCGTATCAGAATTTTTGTGCAAGTATCATTTTTTCTTCTTCTTCTTCGTCCAATAGCCTTACCCAGTTAGGACGTGGGTCATAATGGCTCTCCACAACTTCCAGTCCTTTGCTGCTCTTATTGAAGTTTGTCTTGTTGCTATTCCCGTTCTGCCAATCATATAGTGATTTTCCATGCATAGCTTGGATGTGGCACAAGGCCAAAAGTAAGGGGCACCCAGTGAGGATCGAACTCTCTACTCAGTCGTAATTGTTCTAGCGAGACAAGCTTGCTAACCATAACTCTAGGTGCCCTGTCAATCATTTATATAAGCCTTGTTCGGTCGTACATTATTATCTGCTTTGCTCTGTCCACCTTGCCTTTTATAAGTCCTGTGAGTCTCACTTTTTCCAAGCCTTCTTTCTTCAGTATATTTCCTAGATATTTCAACTGTCTTCTTAAGATTCGACGTATAAGCTTCTTATTTTTCTTTCCATTTCGCTTAAAACTTCATCGTATTCTGAGCAACCCCCAACATTTCTGTTGCCTCAAATCATCAGTAAAGATATTGACCAGCATTCACTGATAAATAGAAGGACTGCATTTCTTACACTTAATATTCTATAGAACCATATTTCTAATGCTTCAAATTTCTTTATCTGTCAGATTGTCCAGCATTTATTGTCATATAGGTGAACCGATAAGGCGTAATTGTTCAATACTCTTTCCTTTGTTTCTAGCAATTTTTTTTTTCTGTTTCTTAATACTTTGTTTAGGGTTTTGAAAGCATCTTTCTATTCCAATATGCCTTCGAATTCTGGTGTCACATTATCTGACCCCTGTTAAGATTCTTCTTAGATATCAAAGGTTTTGTACTGCCATGATTCTAGCATCTGAAATTTATAGTCCGCATGATAGGTTTTTCCTTTTGCTGAAAACGATACTTTCTATCGTTTTACAATTGATGTTTAATCCTTTCTACTTGTTTTTCTTTATTATCGTCTGTAAAAGTTCCAATCGTTTCCTGTCTTCTATAATAAATGTATCATCTTCATATCTAATATTGTTAACATTGCAGTCGCCAATAATGAATCCAGTTAGGACATCTAATTCTATCAGGATTGCCTTACTGTAGGGGTTGAATAAGTCCGACGAGAAGATACTACTTGTCTCACGCCCCTTTCTATTTTTCTATATTTACTGAATTTGTTTTCTATCCGAATGCAGACGGTTTGCTCGCAGAATAATTTTCAAAATATAATCGTATAGATACATCCTTAGCCATATGGGTTTTGCTACTTGCCACATTTATCGTCGTCGGCATCTGTCCGTCTCGAGAGACAATGGAGCAGCGCTGTAGGTGCCAGGCGATGGAGTTACATCGCATCCTCTCCAGTGCGCTACGAGCCTGGGCGGGACATATGGAGAATTAGGGCTGCCTCTCAGCCTTGCTAGCAGAGTCCAGAGGAGAGGATAAACCAATGCGGCTGCAGGAGTTGCCGGAAGGTAGCACAAAGTGCCGTCCATCCGCCTTAGGGGATCCACTCCGGATTTGTGTAGGTTTTAATTCTTAGCCTGTTCTTCTCCCGAAGATTTCCACGAGGCAGTGGAGCTAATTAACCCATAGCTGGAGTTTGGTTCATGGGCACCAGGGCATGTTCACACACCGGTGGTCCTGCATGCCGCATGTTAAGGGGGCCAAACTCCTACCCCGTATCCTGTAGTTTGGCCCGAGTCAGCAAGGTTCTCGGTTCCCATGTGTCGCCACGAGGAGGCACTACATTGATACATATTAATATTACAAAAACAGCGTGGATAAGAAATAAAAAAAAGCAACAGTGGCGAACGCGTGTCATTACCAACAGAAAAGAGGACTCGGGTTGTGCCCGAACATTTTTGCTAACACCAGTTACGTCCGGATTTTTCCCATTAGCAGCTGGACAGCTTAGCATGTCTAGATATGGACCTCTCTGCAACTGGTCAAGATCCGTGTCTTTGTAAGATACCTCATACCAATAAAAACAGGAGAAAAACCATCAGTCGACAGTTTTGTTCCACAAGTTGCTGCGGTTTCCAAGGCAGTGTTATTTTTGTTACCTCCCATCTTTTCCCCCTCCCCGCCTATTAAACCCGTTGTTGCTGAGAGAGCAACCGATTAGGTGTCTCCCCCTCGCCCAATCTCAGCACACTCTTGTCGTAACTTATAACATCAACCTCCGGTATGATTTGAAATCAAATTCACAATCCTTGGGGGCCCATCTAGCAAATAACTGTATCTTACTGATTTGAATATTGAGCCATACAAAAAATGCAATTCAAATTTAATCATAATTCTTTATTTGATTTTCTTAATGCTATATTCTTTGCTGAAACCTAATAGTAGGCGTAATAGCCGTTCGAATTTCTAAAAGGAATCCAGTTCATTATTAATTTAAAACCAGTTTATCTTTACATTATTTACATTATTCGGACTATTATACTCATCTTTGTCGCCATATTTATTACAACGTTTCGGCCATTGTACGCTTCGGCCTTCTTCAGATGATTGGAATGTCGAATTTAACCCTTTATTTCACTCAGTGAAAGAAAATAATTGATAACTGACATGGCACGTGGAACTAGAAGAGTCTACTCCACTGACCGAAATAAAGGGTTAGGTTCGACATTTCAACCACCTGAAGAAGGCCGGAGCGTACAACGGCCGAAACGTTGTAATAAATATGGCGACAAAGATTCTGACAATATTCCGAATAATATAAATGATGTACATAATACTGCATCTCAGAAATATAGACAGATAGTTTATCTTTCATTTTAATTTTATTTCTTTTATCGCAACGTTCAAGTTGTCAGTGTGGCAGAAAATCATGAATATTGCGCACCTAATGATTAATAGTCTTTCAGAATAGCTTGTTAAGTACTTCACTTTTAAATTAAATATCTTATAGTCTGTTGCATAAAGAAACAAAAACGTATTATGTCAAATGAAAAAAATCAGAATAATATCCTCATTTTTATTGTTTATATCATTACAACTTGGCTAATTAATTCGGCATTTCGAAAATTGTGATTCTGGAGACAAAGCCCTGCCATTATTTTATGAACAATAAATATTATTCATTAAGGGATATTTATTCATATCTTTGTCGTTTTGGTCACTACTTTTCGACCAATGTATTCTCTTGCCTTCAACAGGTATATGTCATCTTTGATTATTTTCAGCAAAACATTTTATCTGGTTAAAACGACATTATAGAAAGCATAATGCGTGGTGAATGCTTTTATTTATTTTTTTAGTAATGTTTACCAATAAGGCCCAAAAGTCACTCAAGGTAAAGCGTTACTGAATAATATTGTATGAGCGTAAGATGATGATGCTATCTGATTTCATTTAGTTTGTCTTTTTGTTTTTTTTTCTGTTTATATTTTTATTGCTTTTGTTATTAAATATCCCTCATTGGGATAACAGAAGATCTTCCAAGAACATTATAAGAACTTGAACGTAAATTTACAATTGATGATGTAGCAATTAAAGCACTTTCTATACATTTTCTTATTATTAAATTGATTTCTTTTTTAATTAGAGAATCATTTTTAAATGAAAATTACGGTCAGACTCATTCGTTATTGCAAAGACAGCTGGGCTTAAATGACCTTTTTTCTCAGTATCCCACTGACTGACAGTATTTTTGGTTTCATACTATCTTTCACATCGCTATATATATATATATATATATATATATATATATATATATATATATATATAAAAAAAAAAAACAGACAACTTTAAGGTACCATTACAATAATTTATTTCACCAAAATCCTTTTTAAAGAATTTCGGATCATCAGATAAACACTTCCAACAATGAAATGAGAGGAAAAATGTGATATATATATATATATATATATATATATATATATATATATATATATATATGTATATATGTATGTATCTTAATACAACGTTGAAAATTGCAGTTGTAAAAAGAAATCGCAAAAGACATATGTATACATATATATATGTATATTGTTTTTGTATAGATGTATACAAAAACAATACCCTGTCCAGTGGCAAAAGCTGCTGGTGGCACCAGGGGTGGCAGAACCGCCTTAGCCGACGAAACTATGTTACCACCCCTGGGTGGCGGCTGACGAGGACAGGGTATCGCACATGATTTCACCTTTATTATTGTTGTTATTAATAATATTATTAATTATTATACTCTTTTTTTTATTTAATTTTTTTAAGTAATCTTTAATATATTGTCTATATTAATTACAATAAGCTTAATAGGAATAATAATATTTTTAATAATATTATTAATATATCTTATTTTATTTTATTCCTACTTTACTGGCCATCTTTAATACTTTATATACTAACTATAAATTATATCGAAGTGGTTTTTCAAGTGTCACCGTGATATACCTACATATGATAACTCACTTCTCCTTCTTCCTCCCCCTCCCCTCTTTAACTCTTTTTTCTTCTTTCTTCTTCATCTTTCCCCACTCCCGTGCTTTACAATTTGTCTTCCTTTTTTTCTCTTTCTGTCTAAAAATTATTTAAGAGGTCAAATTGTCTGACCTCTTGACTAAGTACATTTGAACATATGTAAATTATTAAATATGGTTTTAAAATAACCCTATTCTTACTTCCTATTTCCAATAGAGATCATTCTATAATCCTACCTCCTCCCACCACCTCTGTCGCTTTATGTCAATCTAAAACTATCCCTCAAAATGTAATATTTATGTAATATAAAAGAAACCAATATATTTTGCAACTAGAGATGTAAACTAATGAACAGGGAAAAATATATTTTCTGCGGAAATAAATTATAGTCATGGAACTTTAGCAATATGCAAAGAAAATGCAAAGCTCTTCAGTGAAATGACTGATTGGCATTTTTTTACATTCGTAAATACAATACACTAGAATTAGCTGTTTCTCTCTTTCGAATGATGATAGCTCAGTGGTAGAAACTCTGACTGACACAAAATCGGTTGGGTTTCGGTCCTGGCTTGAAACATTCGGATGTCTAGTCGCACTGAGGAGATGCGAAACAGTACTGTCTGCGAATGACACACACACACACACACACATATATATATATATATATATATATATATATTCCTGCTTCGGAGTGTGCGTGTGCTTTCTGTTACAATTTTCTTTAGGAATTCCTTGTTGCTTACTAGGTTCGTCCATGAAATTTTCTGCCTCTTTCTGTAGAATCATATATATATATATAAGAGGGAGAGATCATGGTGTGGAGTACGAATTGGAGATATCAGAAATCCCTGGGGTTTGATGAGACATTTCAGACAAGCAAATATTACTTCTGTATCGACTGAGATTTTGATAATTTCTTCTTCTTCTGCTGTTGTTGTTGTTCGTGCCTTCCAACCATGGATCTCCACAGCTTCCTGTCCTTTGTAAGCAACATTCTCCCCTTATGGCAGAGCAGGGACTTGGAGGGATGGTAAAGGTTGAATGTTGCTTCGAACTACGAAGGACAGGAAGCTGTGGAGAGCCATGCTGTGCAGCAGCAGCAGCAGAAGAAGAAATTATCAACCTTAAAATCTCAGTTGATACACAAGTAATATTTGCTTGTCTGAAATGTCTCATCAACCCCCGGGATTTCGATATCAAATCCTTTCATGGTCCCTTTCAGGGCCCCTGCTCTAAGATACACGTAACCATTGACCCTAATAGACGCACTGTCTTAAGAGAACGTGCACGAAGACACAATGATCTAAATATGGGATGATACGCCCTCACCACTCAGCTGTGTAATTCGGACAGGTACCTTCTTATCATGTGTTCTAAGCGAGTGGCTTTTGACGAACGGAAGCCCACACACATGATCCGATTCCAACAATGGCGTCGATGGTTGACAAGGGAAAGAAGTTACACCCTTTTTTACACTGATATTGTTTGCGTGGACAAATAAGAAAAACAAAAAACTGTTTTTAAATAAAGTTGGTGGACATTGAGAACAAACTCAGTGAATATTATCGCATAGATAAATGTTGCACTTATGTGGAAAAGCAAACGAAATCGCTCTTTCTCTCTCAATCTCTCTTTCTCATTCGATATCTTTCTCTCTCTCAGTCATTCTCTCTCTCATTCGCTCTCTCTTTCTCAAACCCTCTCTCTCGCATTTGCTTTCATTCGCCCACTTTCTCTCCCCTTTCTCTCTCTCATTCTCTCTCTTTCCATCACATTCTCTCTCTATTTATCACTCATTTTCTCTCACATTCTCTCCCTTTCTCTCTCTCTCATTCTCCTTCTCATCCTTTCTCGCGATCTCTCTCTCATTCGCTCACATTCTCTCTCTCTCTCTTTATCACTTATTCTTTCTGTAATTATCTTTTTCTCTTTTTCATACTCTCTTATTCTCTTTCTCATTCTCACTCTCTCTTTCTCAATCTCTCTCTCACTCGCTCAATTTCTCGCTTCCTCTCTCTTATTCTCTCTCTTGTTATCTCATTCTCTCACTCTTTGTCACCCATTCTCTCTC